ATTTTGAGGATTGAAACCAAGGTTTCTGAAAAAACTGGTTTTGCTAATTTCCGTTTTCCTATCATTCTGCCTTCTAAGCATCCTGTTGTGAGTTAGCTAATCGACGAAACTCAGTTGAAATCATTGCATATCGGAGTTCAGGGATTATTGAGTCTTCTGCGCGAGAGACTTTGGATAATCAGGTGGAGAAAATCAGTGAAATCTGTCATTTCAAAGTGTCCGAAATGTCGCAGATTCAACTCCAGATGTATTGAGGTTCCACCTATTGCACTTCCAGAAAATCGTGTGCGAGAAGCCAAAGTTTTTGAAGTCATCGGTGTAGATTTAGCCGGTCCATTCTATATTCGAACTGGAGAGAAGGCTTGGATATGCTTATATACATGTGCCATTTATAGAGCTGTTTATTTAGAACTTCTCTCATCACTGTTTACAGATATTTTCTTACAATCATTCAGAAGATTTGTGGCCAGAAGAGGAAGACCATCGACTGTATACAGCGACAATGGCACAAATTTCGTTGGTGCTGAAAATGCCTTTTCACAATTGGATACCAGTACCATCGAGAGGATAGTGTGGAAATTTTTCTCCAACAGCTGCCTGGTGAGGTGGTTGGTGGGAGAGGTTAATCGGAACTATGGAGGATCTACTGAGAAAAGTTTTGGGAAAAGCCAGTCTGATATATATGAGGAGTTATTCACGATACTTTGCAATTGTGAATCAGTACTAAATTCGAGACCCCTCACTTGTATGTCCAAAGATAGCAAAGATCTTGTTCCTTTGACTCCTGCTATGTTCCTCAATGATATTTCAGAGTGCGGAGTTCTGGATTTGGACACCGTGGAGAGTTCAGATCTGAGATACAGGATGAAGCTGAAAGATGATCTTCGTAGGAGATTTAGAAATGAGAGAGAAATCAAAATTGGTGAAGTCGTTCTGATAGGAACCGACAATACCAAAAGGATGGAATTTCCTTTAGCGTATGTTCAAGAGCCGATACCTGGGAGGGATAATAAAACCCGTCTGGTCAAAGTGAAGACAACGATGGGAAAGAGTGCGGAGTTCTGGATTTGGACACCGTGGAGAGTTCAGATCTGAGATACAGGATGAAGCTGAAAGATGATCTTCGTAGGAGATTTAGAAATGAATATCTCGGTCAGCTGAAATTGTCATCGGAAAAACGAAAACAGAGAGAAATCAAAATTGGTGAAGTCGTTCTGATAGGAACCGACAATACCAAAAGGATGGAATGGCCTTTAGTGTATGTTCAAGAGCTGATACCTGGGAGGGATAATAAAACCCGTCTGGTCAAACTGAAGACAACGAAGGGAATAGTACTCAGGCCCCTACAACGAGTATACCCTTTAGAGATGAATTGTGCTGATGATTTGGACTTAACTCAGATATCAGGCCGAGCAGTTTCTACAAAAGAGACCGAAAGTGAAGAAACTGAAGAAACCAAAGAAAATGACAACGGATGTTTCAAAATTCCTGAACCACTTCCGATAACTACTAGATATGGTAAAAAAGTCAAACCTGTTCAAAGATTTCCTTCGTAGCAATTAGAGTTGTTGGTGAACAAGGTTCCACAACTCAAGGTGGGAATATGTCGCAGATAGTTCATTTTCTGAATTTGTTATACTTTTTTTTGTACACATTGTATTCTCTCTAACAAGAATGGTCAAGTAACTGTCATTTTGATATATGATTGATAAGTCAATTGTTTCGGATATATTTAAGTTTGTTAAGTACTTTCATAATTTCTGATCCATATTTCGTCCTACATTCGACGTATTCAGTCACCGGGTAGGTGAATTTCGAATATTTAACAATACGCCTCCCTGGACAGATGCTGTATCAGCCCAATAATTGCTAACCGTTTACATAAAACTGATTGTAATAACGCATATTGTCACTCTTTACTCGTTTTTTGTGTTATATCGAAGACCTCTAATAATAGGTTTTCTCACAAATATCTTCCATGTTGAGGCTTCGATCAGTAACGCTTTCATTATATATGTATTATATCTCTCACATTTGGAATATATGTTTTCAAAAACGATTTATTTTGATAATGGGGAAACAACTCTGAGTTCTCCTGAGTTACAAGTTCAACAGAAACTGACTTTAAATACAATTTTTTTTATGAGTTGAAAGTAACAGAGTCTGAATTGAACTAACTGTAAAATGTAATTGACTTATTTCCTCACGCAGGAAGGTTTTTATAGTAGAATAATTGTTTACATGCGCTGAAAATGGAACAAAGAGAATGGAGAGTCTTTGTGTCGTTGTTTGAAGAACTTCGTATTACCAGGTGTTGATTCAGCAGAGTCGGCGTCGACATTGATCTTGTTTACCCCATGTAAAGTGAAGATCAATGAACATATTAGAGGATATTCAAGCCGCTCCGATAAAAACTATCACAATTTCAGCCACACCTAAGTCAACCGGCACAATCAAGAAAACCTTAAAAAAGCTAACCACCCAGCGACCAAGCTTAGAACTCGCTCAACTCAGCACTGAATCATTTAACTTTATAAATTCGATTTTCTTTCCTTTTTAAAATCTATTTTACTCTACCGTGTTCAAATTATGTCCCGTAGCTTGAAGTTTAGTCACCTCAACGTTAGATCTTTATTCACTGGGTTTGATGAATTGAAGGATTTTATTACAAGCAATGATATAGATATTATTTATATCACGGAAACTTGGCTCAGTCCTGATATTTCTTCACAAATGGTTAATATTGACAATTATATTATTGCTAGAGCTGACAGAGATGGAAGAGGACAGACTTTTTTCCGAGATTAACCAATATCTCGAACATATCTGGATTTCCGTGAGTATCGGAGTTAACCGACCACCGAAAGCTAATATATCACTTCCCATCGCCGTACTCGAAGATATAGTGTCAAATTTTTCAATGAACTGTGATTCCTTGAACTTGACGGGAGGTATTTATATTAACCACTTATCAATGAATGATTCTGTAGATTCCTTTCTAAATTTTCTTTAAAGTTATATTCTGTCTCAAAGGATAGAAGTCCCTACAAGAATAACAGCTAATACTCATACCCCAATTGATATCTTGGTAACATCAGAAAAGGATGATATGCAGTCAGTTGAAGTTTTAGATATTGGTATCTCCGATCATCTTGCAATTACTTGTGGAATTATATCACTGGAAGCAACATCAAAATACAAAACAGTTTGCTACCAAGATTTCCGAAGTTTCAACCAAGATGATTTTTTCAATGAATACCGCCTCTTTGATTGGGTAGAATCTTTCACTTCGAAACAGTAGATGCAATGGTAGAGTTTTTCACCACAAACACATACATTCTTTTCAATGCTCATGCCCCAGTTAGGTCTATAAGAACAAAAAACCGCCCGTCCCATGGCTAACCTTCAACATCAAGGAAATGATCAAACTAAGAGAAAAAGCTCTTGGAAAGTTCCATATCTTATAGAGACTGGACGAGCTATAAGGAAATTCGTAATTATACCACCGGAGGGAGCAATCTGACGTGAAAAAAAAGCCTGTTTAGAATTTGTTTCAAGACACGAAAATTCCAGTTTGATATGGGGTACCTACTCTAAGAAAACTTGAAATTTTGAATAATGAACACAGCCCTAACCTTCCCGCGGATTCATCATATCTGACTCAACTAAACTCTCACTTCACAAATATTATTCATCCTGTAAAATCTGATCATCATGAAACACTCATTGAAAGATAAAGCCAAACCTATAGAGGACCTACTTTGAATTTTCGCAGAGAGACCACTCCAGACTCAACAATACATCAGTGGTATGAAAAGTAACTGTGCTGAATCTGACAGCATTTCTCTCATTATGTATATTGAAAATCATCCTATCAACCACATAACACACATATTCAATTCCTCTATAGAAACAAATAATTTTCGGGAAAGAAAGTTTTTGGCTTTCTACTACTCCATCTCGATACAAAAAATAAGGATGAGGGAATCTTCCAAGGAAAGAAAGGAAGTAATCACTTCTAAATTCTAAATTAAGTAACTCTATACATGGATGTGTAGATCATGCAAAGAAGTAACTTTCAGACACAAACTGAAAGAAAGTCCTCCTGAAACAGCTACTTTCATATAAACATTGAATTACACGAAAAAAAAATTCTTTCGAAACAAATACTTCTATATGAACACTGAATTATACAGAAGATACCTTTCTCAACTCAGTTTGTATTCCAAATATTCGTTGTGGAATGAAATAATAAAAGTTGATACAATCTATAAAGACAGTGAAACATAATGCCAAACATATTTATTTGTCTGAAAGTTACTTCTTTGCATGATCTACACATTCATGTATAGAGTTACTTAATTTAGAATTGATCACTTCCTTTCTTTCCTTGGAAGATTCCCTCATCCTTGTTTTTTGTATCAAGATGGAGTAGTAGAAAGCCAAAAACTTTCTTTCCCAAAAATCAATCACTCCTTAAAATATAACCCCTTCAATTCAAATAATTTTCCTTCTGCATAGAAACGTGCAATTGTACTCCCTTTGCCAAAATGTGAAAATCCAACTGAATTATCTCATTTGAGGCCTATTAGCAAACTGCCTATCCTACATAAGGTGTTCGAACGGATTCTGAAAGATCAAATTGATTATTTTGTATACAGTAATAATTTGATAACATATGTTCAATCTGGATTTCGTGCATTCTATAGCACCACCACCGCTCTTGTCAACATCACCCAAGATTTATTCAAAGCAACTGATGATAATGAAGTAACTGCCATGGTACTGTTGGACTATAGTAAAGCATTCGATACATTAGATCACGTTATTTTGCGAAGAAAAATGTCATTTCTCGGATTTGGTGAAGGGGCTGTAGATCAATTGAAAAGTTTCCTCAGAAATCGGACTCAGTCAGTATGTTTGGATGTGAAGTGTTCTAGTGATTTACCTGTTACTATGGAGAACCTCAGGGCTCTAGCCTTGGCCTCATTCTGTTCTCTCTATATATATCTGACTTCCATAAAATAATTCATCATTGCACAAAAGGCAGTGTCTTGAGGTGTGGCCATTTTCACAACGCACTTCGAGAGTATTTCGTTAGCTGTAGTTTCATCTTTAATGTAGGCGTGAATTTTTTCTCGTACTGCCTCTTCATTAACATCTCCAGAGTCATTCATCAGCCCTTCTTTCTTCGCGAAACAGATCAGGTGCTCTTTCAGTTTGCTGTCATCAATGAATTCTCCTTGCATCATTTTTCCTATGATATCAGGAGAAACACCACTTTCTGCGAGACATGCGTTGTGGATTTCCATCATCATTTGTTTGCTATCATCGGATAGACACTGCAGAAAAAAAATTTGTAAAATGGAAGTATGATTGTTTACGAATGTAATATTAGTTTGAATTCTATCATTTTCATTATCAAGCAACTTTTATGTAAGTATTCACTGTCAGTTCGAGTGATAGTGCTTTCATCTCTCAAATGATTTTTCAAAAATTCATACATTTTTCACCGATATTGTATACTATTTTTGTAGGACAAACTGTTTTGGATGATTATATATGAAAATCTGGTGCTGATTCGAATGAAAATACGCTATTCTTGAAATATTTCAATGGACAACTTGACTCACGTTGGGTAACATTCAAGATTTTGGACGATACAAGAAAGTCACATAGGAATTGAAAGGTTCATATCACTATAAATCAAACCAAATAAATCTATATTCAATGACAGAAGAACAATGACAATCAGCTAGAAAGGCTGAATGTTCAATATGTGGATTGAAAATCCACATGCAAAAAGTTCATTCTGAATCATTTAATACTACAAGTCCCTATGAAAACTCCAATCCCGATAATAATTTCCAGCAAGAATCCACTTACAGGATTTGAGACGAGATATACATACTGTTAAACGTATTCCGAAGGCTGCAATCACCCTCACAAAATGAATTAACGAATGTGTATCCAGGAATTCTTCAACTAATTGTGAAAATTTGCTCATGTTTGCTCATAGAAGTTTCAATATTCAGAGAACTGAAGATAATCGAAAAATTTCAATCACAACAATAGATAAGAAAAATTTGAATAGATCTTATAGCATCACCAAATTGACTAATTGTTATGTCAAAATTTCTGATAAACATAAAAATTATAAGAACAACCTCAAAACACAAGTACTCTCGAACGTCTCTGATGGTGATATAACAATAGCTGCAACATTGGAAGAATTACGAAGATATGCTGAGCTATAGTTCCGGTAGTTGTGGCGAATATCTTTCGAATTCCTCAATGAATCTTCGCAATATGCTTCTTTTTGGAAATGTAGATCAAGACATACGTGCTATTTTATCTGGTGCTTCTTCATGTGCCCTAAAAAAGGCAGGTGGCCTGCGTCCCACAGCTGTTGGAAATTTATATCGACGTTCAGTAGCGAAACTTGTTTGTTTCAATCTACAAAAAAGTCTTTGAAATCTATTTCGTCCCCAACAGTTTGGATTCGAAACAAGTGGTTGCGAAGCAGTAGCCCATGCTGCACAATGTTATATTAATAAAAATCCTAACCCAGTTGAAGAAGTTTTTCTGAAACTTGATTTTGCTAACTCCATACTAGAAATATATTGAACAATGTTAAAGTAAACCTTTTTTGTAATATTTGGTAACCAAATTATAATGTCCGAACAAAGAGTACAACAGGGAGATCCACTCGGACCACTATTGTTCTGTCTTTGTCCATCATCTTATAACTGAAAATATCCACTGAATTCAACGGCTGGTATCTGAATGATGGTTCAATAAGTGACAAAGCAAATGTGATATTAGAAAATTTTCGTAACACAATAACTTATTCGAAAGACCTGAGACACAATTTCGAGAACTGTGAACTCATTTTACTGGATAAACAAGACCCTAACATCATCGATCAATTAGACTTAACGTGTAAGGTAAGACCCTCGTTAGTCCTTAGCTCGCACAAGTTTCTCAACTTCTGAGAGTTGTCGTTCGTATGGGGGCGATAGCTGATTAACGGAAAAACAGATTTCAAACAGCTGCTGGTGTACGAGACTGAAAAACCCAATTGATTTCTTCTTGGTGCCCCACTATCTGAAGATGTCTTGAAATATTCTTAGGAAAAAAATCACAATCACTATTTCATCAACACATGTTGGATTACATTTATTGAAGAATTCATTGGTGACTCCAAAGTTATCGTATATTTTGAGGTGCAGCCCTACTTGGCAAGACGAACAGGTATTACATAATGGATAACGATTACATGGATAACGAATTAAGAAGGATGCTGAAACTCATCACCAATACCCGTATCGAAGAGAAAACTTGGTTACAGTTTCAGTTTCTAGAGGACGATAAGGGATTTGTTCAGCCACTTCACTCATTTTGCAATTATTTCTGATAGAAATCTTCTCACAATACCCAAACACAATATCTGATTGTTTTTTTGATCGTGGCAAATCTCTTTGTGAATCCAGAACTGACCAAAAATAAAAGTTGAAGACATCAAAAACTAGAGGGCATGGGATAAACCACCACTAGATCAAGCAACTAGTATTCTACTAAAAATGAGAATCGTCCTTTTGCAGTAACTGTGAAAATATCTGGTGCTTGGTTGAATGCTATTCCTGTAGCATCACTTAGGATTCTACTGGATGACGATTCTTTCAGACTAGCGATTGGATTTAGACTTGGTACACCACTGTGTGTTCAACCTTTTTGTTATTGTGTTGCATGTGTGGATGAATCAGGTACTCATTGATTTGGCTGCCCTTTTAGCGCTGGACGCTCATTTCGTCATTTTACACTGAACGATCTAATCAAAAGAGCATTAACTTCAGCAAAAATTCCTGCGATACAGTCGATACAAGTCGAAACGACGGGAAAAGGCCAGATGGTATAACACGTGTTTCATGGAAAAACGGTAAATGGAGAAGCATACGTCCTCTTTCATGAAAAGGAAGAAACGAAATCGCACCTTTGAGATAACTGAGAGGAGGTTTGAAGGTGATTGAGAATGTTTCATGATGAATTTCACTAGTTCGGACTTACATTGTCTACTATATAAAATGATTTGAAATCCCTGAAACAACTAAAAAAAAGAATCAAAAATGAGATAGCTGAAAATCACCCGAAGACGATTATAGATACTAACAATCGAAACGTCGTGAACTAACGTGACTTGGAATCTCTTCACTTTTTATTTTCTTTCTTTTTTCATAATCAGGAGATGATGAAAACTGGATGTTGCGTCTTAGTTAAACCTATTTGAATATCAATAGCTCAGATGATGAGGATTATGTACCTAACATTTATCAGGTTTCTAGTTTCAATTGCCACGTGAGACAGTGAACAAACTGACTGTTTGGAATATAACGTTTTGTGATATTCATGGATATCGTTCCAGATTTTTCGATTTCTGAACTGTCATAGGCATCTTGTTGTCATGCACTTATCCTGTGGCTGTTGTCTAAAGCACGTTGAGCTGCACTAAACATGTCTGATCTACGAAACCGAATATGTGAAATATGTTATTTGAAACACGTTATTATTTTTCTCTTAGTTCGTAAATCATTTCGTAAATCTGTCTTTTCCAACTCTTCCACCTTGTTGTTCAGGTTGCTGAACACTTGTTGAAAGCCAGATTTGTGTTTATTGTTTTCTTTAAACAAATTTAACAGTTTCTACATATTAACCAACATGGGCCAAATTTCTGAAAAATGAAATATAAAACTGCTTAAAGAAAACAAAATCCGACTGGTGGGCCGTAGTCCAATGGAACCTGTCGTACCAAACGTTTCGTCTGCCACTGCATCAGACTTTATCAGTGGCGAGGACGAAGGTTATATTTTAATCTATCAATCGATGCTGAGATTTCGAAATATAACCATATCTAGCCAAATAGGATATGATCGGTCACAACAAATAGCTGACAATCGAAGTAATTCTAATTTTGTAAACTGACCCTGAGTCAGAGATTAACGATGAAAACTGAAGGGCCTTTCTGAGGATGAATGTGAGGATGAAAACATCATTTGAATACAGCCATAGAATATAAGACAAATCAGAAACTGTGTGATCATTATCAAGTCATTGACCAATTTTCTCAAAAATTCTGACAAGAGAATTCAGGCTTTGAAAGACAATGTCAAACCAAATGTTTCCAAGCCAGGGTGGAATAATTTGGTCCCAATGTGTAACACAAGAGAGGTGGAGAATCATGATGGATTATTGTGGTGCAGATATATTTATAAAGCAATCATGGAAACACCGAAGCGATTGAGTTACAGTTCAGACTGGAAGGGCAACATTTTTTTAAACCTACACTCATTCATTCATTTTATTTGTAGATAATACCTGCTTATGTAAAATCCTTCAATCACCTTCATGTAGTCTATCATCGGCTAGACTGACGAAGACAAATATTACTTTGTAAAATTTTCAAGTCTGCCAAATATTTACATATAAACGGGGATTTTGAACTTCCAAACTAACACTGAAGAATTGTGCATTCGCTTGCAATTGCAATCTCATTTCTGCATGCTTTTATTGACCAAATGCAATTTGCGAATCAATGATCGCAGGTCCACTTTGTCGATATTTTCGTTTTGTATGAAAAATTTTCGGACTCAGACATACTTGAACAGAAGATAAATATGTGGCAAATAAGACGAAAAAATTAAGACTAAATTGAGAGACCAATCGGTTTGATAGAGGCTTTCACAGTAGAAGTCACGATTAGAGAGAATGAAGTCATTCGCTGCAATTCATTTTTTTTGCACTATTTGACTTTCAAATGATATTACGAGAATTCTCAAATATCTGGCATTCAGCTAGTCTTTCAAGATAGAAAGCTGTCTAAAATCCCAGATACTACACTCACTTGTGCGATAAAATTATTTCAAATTCGTTAGCCACTACTTTTAGACATCCATGGTGATAACTGAAAAGCGATTTGCCTTTCTTCTCTGTGAGAAGACCGATAGTAAAGAAAGTTTTGCTCATTGAATAAGTGAGTAGATCGTTATACTATCATCTTAAATGTATATATACCATAGTGTATTGGAGATTTCTGTGAAAATGTTACACAGGGTAACATCCTTCACTACGTGTACTATGTTACGAGAGTCATAAATTCGATTCTGAAAGTGGGAGCTATTTTGAGAGAACCTAATTGAGCAGTACTAGTTTTTCGATGACACAAACACTGGGTCTGCTTCGATGCAGGAATAGGAAAGCCAGTCACATCAAATAATATCGGGGAAGGAAGGTTTTGACTTACTACTTCTCCATCTTCATACAAAAAAATGTGTGAATTTTCCAAAGAAAGGAAAGAAGCCCATAATTTTAAAATAAACTTTCCACAAAGAGGTATAGATCATGCAAAGAAGTAACTTTCAGACTCGAACTGGAAGAAAAAGCCATCACGAAACCATTACTTTTCTATAAACATTGTACACGAAATGAAAAATATTTTTGAAACAACTACTTTCATATGAACAATGAATTATACAAAAAACACTTTATCTCATTCAGTTTGTACCTACTCCAAACATTCGTTATGGAGTTGAATCAGATATCATTCAAAGGATTGCTACACAATATATTATACGAAAGAGGTAAAATTTCAATTACATGGAACACTCATCCTTAAAGGTGGACATCTGATGTTTTGGAATAAGACACTTACTTTATTGCCTCTTCAGAACCAATCTAAACAATATTACAAGATGAAGCACATGAATTTACGACTCTATCTCACAAATAATTTGAATCTACTCATGTCATCGATGACAGTACGTTATGCCATTCATTCGCTTATTTGATTCGATCCCTCAGGAATTTTGTTTGAATTGATTAGGGTATATTTTCAGGAGATATTAATTTTTGGAAAAAAAGGTTTTGGCTTTTTACTTCTCCATCCAAGAGAGCTTTTTCTTCCAGTTTGTGTCTGGAATTAACTCCTTTGCATGATCTACACATCTTTGTGAACTTTTCATTTCCAAAATAATTGTATCATTACTGTCTTTGGAAGTATCATTTTTCTGTATAGAAATGGAGAAGTAGAAAGTCGGAACCTTTTTTCCCAAGAATTAATATCTTCTAAACATATGCATATATCAATTTGAAGAAAATAATCATAACTCAATACCTGATTCAACACACGCTGACTCTTCTATACCTTTCTCTGAAGTTATTGGTTCAGCTTTCGACTGTGAGAAACATGACAAAATGGTATAATTAATAAAATAGGTCCATCACTCCTCATGCCACTAATATCTTAGTTCCAAAAACCGAAAAATAACTGTTTTCCAATGGTATGTCTATCAAAGAAATGTGAGAAATCGTTTGACACTATTTTAGATGATGATACATTGAACCCTGATAATTTGTGGAAAGCATATAGCCTCACTATAATATAGGAAAGCTGATCAAAAAGATATGAGAAGAATCTGTCAACAGAACTCAGAAGTAAATCCTTACGAACCAGAAAATAATTCGAAAATAATTCAGTAAAATCATAAATTTCTCAGAGTTGACAGTTTTTTTAGAAACGTTTATTTTTCCTGAATGCTTCGTGAGAAGAGTACAATAGAATCCTTGCGCTATTTCTACAAAGAATTCTTAACTAGATATAAAAAATAAAAATTATTTCAGAAGAATATTTGAAAAAGTTCGACGAAAGCCTAAGTTTCTGGAATATTCAGAAAAAATATTCTCAAATTTTGGTGGAATATCAGAAACAAAAAAAAAATATATTCACCCATTTTCCTGGAATTGAAGCACACACGATCAGGGCAATCAGTAAAACCTTCATTCTTTACCACGATAGATGGGAACAGCTTCTCCAATGATATTCAAGACACTAAACTGACAAATTTATACCAAATGAATACACACATTTTGGAGTCGTACTTTGTATTCATTTAGGTACAATTATAATCATGTCGCAATACATAAGTACGATTTTCTAATAACATATCATTTCATGAATACCTTGAAAAAAGTTTTAGCAATAATCTTCAAAGCGTAGTTCCTCTATTGACACTGAATGACATGAAATGTTTTTTTTTCATAATTATAGTTATCTCAGAACAATCATGTTCAACATGTTGTTCACTATTCGGAAATGAATTGCATCACTTGATCATGATAGAATTGAGCTAATTGGAATTGTAATGATATCATTGTTGAGAAAACAAACTTCAAAACTAATTCATGGTAGTGATCCGTTTTTCATTCTTGTTCGATTTATGACTCATTTGTTTTGTAGACATTCATATTGAATATAGGATAGAGGAACATAACTTTTGTCTGATTTCTACTAAGTTTTTCATTTGTTACCACCAGTTTTGGTTTATTGTCTTGAGAATGGTTTAATGAACCGAAACCGATCATGTCAAGTCTTGAGAATGGTTTGATGAACCGAAACGGTCGTAGCAAATGAAAAACAGTAGCAATCAGACAATAACTTTTTTAGAAATTGCTGCAGTATTTACCACGTATTTTTTCGCTTTTCATCCTTCAATTCAAAATGGCTCACCATATCCAGTTGTCAAACAAAAAAAATTACCACAAACGAGACATGAAGACCAATATGGTCGATAATTGATTTTCTCAATTGGATTCAAAAGATGGATTGTTATTCTGAACATAAATGACACATTTAAAAATATATAATAGATGGGGCGGTCAGAACTTTCTACATAACAAATACAGGTTTACAACTCTCTTGGTAGTCCATCCGAAAATACGTCTCACGATTCGTTTCTGCAGCACAAAAAAATTCTGACGACATTTCTTGTCCTTTTCCAACTCATGATGTTTTTCATGCGTTTCATGTCAAAGTTGGCCGCGATCGCTTTTGCAGAAACACTGTTAATGTGGGGATCCCAGGTGAGTCAATAATTTATATTAGCAACTGAAAATTTTACTTTTTGCTAATGTCAACTGCGTAATGTAATCTACGAGGAGCAAATGGAGACTCTTCAAGAAGAAGAAAAAATATAATGCTTCAAATGATACTCAAGATCTCATTTGAGGAGAATCAGGCATATGTTCTGGAGCCACTGATTTTGTTGAATTACTAATCGATTTTCACGAGTTCATATTGCCTCACACAAGTGTTCTTCATTTTCTGAATATACTACTTTGATTTGTTCACATAAAAATTGTGATAAAATGAAATTTCTGTCATTAGTTGTTCAGAAAAAGCGGAGCTTTGGAGTCAGATTGTTTTTCCAAAAATCAGATGAAACATTTCATTTTGTACCTCTCTTTCTATTCAGTTTCTGAATACATGGAATGTGTTTCATCTTCAATAAGAATTCAGTATAATTCAGCTTGTAGAATATACTCACTTCTCACTTATTTTCGTCAAATTCATTCCAATTGATTACATCTTATTAGCACAGTGTGTTATTAGGTAGGCTAAAAAGTTCGTAGAATAACTAACAGATGGCGCTACTAGCACCAAATCCTAATTATTTTTAGTAACTCCTAACCTTCAAAAGCCACGTGCACAAATTTTATAGTTGTTGGACCATTATTTTGTGAAATAGAATATTTTGAGTGAGGCAACTTTTGTTAGTTTGAAGAAAGCGAATTAAAAGGAATTTCGTGTGTTGATAACACATTTTTCTGCGAAAAAAAAATACTGTTGAAGTCAAGGTTTGGCTTGATAGATATTATTCGAACTTTACACCAGGAAAATCAATCATTGAGAAGTGGTTTGCTGAATTTGAACGAAGTGAAATGAGCACGCAGTGGACGCCCCAAAGAGTCTGTTACCGATGAAAACTTAAAAAAGTCCACCAAATGATTTCAGATGGCCGGAAAGTGAAGTTGATAGAGATAGCTGAGGCTCTCAAGATTTCGAAGGAACGTGTTGGGCATATCGTGCATGAATATTTGGGTATGCGAAAGTGTTCAAAAAGGGTTCCGCGCGAGCTCACAATCTACCGAAAACACCAACGAATTGATGATTCTGAGAGGTGTTGGAAGCTGTTCCACCATGAAAAACTCGACTTTATGGGTCGATATCTTGAAACACGGCTCCATCATTTCAGTCGGCTGACAAGGTTTGATATCAGTATTTTGCGATGCGCCTGGTATAATATTCATCAACAATCATGAAAAAAAAATCATCAACAGATTGTTACATAGCGTTATTGGAGCATGTGTAGGAAAAAATCGTGGAAAAACGGCCTCATTATATGGGGCTCTTTCTTTCGTAACTCGCACAGTTTTCATAAAGGCATACACTTTGAATCAATTTGAAATAATTGACTCAATTCAGAAAATTAGATAATTTATCAATGATATATATTATACCAATGTCAATTATATCTATTACATCATAAATTATTGATTCCAAGTTAGCATTCGAAGGATCATTAAGAAAATTACAACTTTCAAAACGCATGAACTAACTCATTATCGGAAAAGCACGTTTTGTGATAGCCAAAGTATTAGAGCAAATCTAGAGATAGATTCATTGTTTGACAAGTTTACAGTTACATGATTTCTGCAAGTCTGTTGAGAGATGAGGATGAAACTGAGACACAATTTACAGTATATTACGTGCCAAGTAGGATAAGAAGCGTTAGCCGAGTGCGATAATTCGCGAGTGGAGGTGATTGGCCCTATTCTCGAAGTGCGTAATATAAGCTTTGCTTTAGAGGCGTCTGGCAAATGAAATATGATTGGCTGTCGGCTGGTGAGGTTGAATAAATTCAATAATCTTTATGTTGTGTAACAGTATTTCTAAATTGTTGCAAAAATTATTGAAAGGAAAAAGTGGAAATATGTTACCTTCGAAAACAAATATTAGCCATCGTGAGCTTCCTTTTAATGAGTTCATTTATTTGTTCAGTGGTAAGCGTCGACGATTTCTTCGGTTTATAACCATCAGATTTGCGTTTCAAAGGGGCACGTAACTTGGAATATTTGCTGAGGTTCACATTTTTCTTGATATTCAGGATACTTCTTAGTGTGGAGCAAATTACCCATAATGACGATGGTTTTAAAGTTTTTGCTAAATATTCAAAATAAACGGAAAGAATGGTTTCGGAAAAGAAAGTAATCTTTTTCTTCTCTCTCCAACTCATATAATTTTCGAAATTATAATCGTATTTTCCTCTTGATTTTGCTGGCAACAAATTATTCATCGCAATATTTGCTTGCTCGGTAATATCTGGTGAGGTAGCACAAATTTCTTGATCATTGTTGTTGATACACGGATTACTAGATTCATTACCAACCCACAAACTGTTGAACAATAAATTTACTGGAAATATGATTTTCATTTTGATTATACAGATAATTTGGAGAAAAAATTCACTGATTTTGGCTTTTGGACAGGTGAATGTATTCATGAGATTATGTTTATAAGAGTAAATGTTACATATCTCATCATTTTTCAAAATTTCTCACGGAAGTTGCCGGCATTAATTTAGAATACACGTGTATTCTAAATGAGCCAATACCTACCTGCCGTCAAACACGCGATGATTAGTTTAAGATGTATGAAGTTAAAAAGAATATACAAATAATATACAGTGTGGTACCTTTAACTGGAATAAATTCAGTAGAATTGTAGCAGAATGTTTCTTGCAAAATTCCTGAGACAGGTCGATTTTGTTTTCAAGAGAGATATATTTCTACATTCTAATGAACCAAATTACATGCATCCCTTACATAGGGTAGCTACCCCCTAAATTTTTTTAAATAGCAATAAGGGTTGATTNAAATCAATATTATGTATAAACACAAGCTTCTATTTACATTTTATAAAAAGAATAGACATTCAAGATTTCAATTACCTACCTGATAATATGAATGGGAAAATTTAAATGAGCATGATTAATGTATTAACAATTCTGTATGTGTAAAAACAGTTTTCCAGGAAGAAAGTTCTGATTCCGATTCAAAATGAGATTTGATTGAGCTCCTTGAAAGAATTTGGGAGATGATTTTAAAGATTAACATTTGTTGAATTTCCAGAAAATCGTGATAGTTTGTACCGAGGGTGTATATGAACAGATCTGCGTTTTTCGTACCATGATGATGATAACCCAGATGCAGTGAATTCTTTTTATGAATTCCACTCAGTTTTGGAAAGCGGCTTAACGTAGTCGTTATGATTGACACTCAGCAGTAAACTGACTATCTGTTTGAATCTGAAAAATTTGATGGAATGCGAAGAAATATCCCACAAAACTACTCCATATGTTAATGGAACGAAGCAAATTATATTTCTTCTTACTCAGTTCATCAATGATTATATATACCATGATGAATTCCAGCTGAAAATCAGTCCTAGAAGTTATTTTCGCTACTCATAGTATTTGAGATCGTGAACAGAACTTCTGAGTCTTGATCTATGTCCTTCGCCTATGTCCTGATGATTCCATCAGATATTATTATAGTAATGCCATCTGCGAAAAGTAGCCATTTACTGGGTGGAATGAAATGGCTAGAATCATAAGAATATATCAAAAATAGCAGTGCCCTCAAAACCAATTTCCGAGGTACACCATTCTTTATAATATTATACTTAGAAAAGCTTCTATACATATCCAATAATTGGTCCTATTCCGTAGGTTAGGTTAGGTCTGAAGTGAGTGGGTCTATTTAACCCTCCACCGCAACACGCAAGGGTTTATTATGGCTCTCCTAAGGATGACTGAAATAACCTGAATGGTACTCCTCTCACACCATGAAACATCAATTATTCAAAAAGACCGTTGAGTGGGACTTCGTTGATCACTTCAAATAAATCACAAATCATTAATGTCACATGTTCAAATCTCTTGAGACTCTGGATAACTAGATTCAAATTTTGTCCATTGTTGATCTACGTGCTTTGAAGCCATACTGATTTT